CCAAGCAGGACACTATATGGACCAAGGTGAAAGATTCTTTAACAGAGGATATAAACCATGCACAACAATGGGTAAAACAATAACCAACCTCAACCGCCTCAAACGTGGGGAATGTAAAGTTTTTTACTGAGATGAAATGAACAATACAGCATTGAGACAAATGGTTCAAGATGGATTTGTCGGCTTCCAGCAGTTACACAAACCACGTGTTTGTCAAGTTCTTCTATACCTCAGGAAGTTTTAGACCGACTTAAAAAACCTAAACAACCAGTTGAAAACAAAACAAACTAAAATTTTTTACTGAGATGAAATGACCGAAGAAGTTGAAACGGTAGATTTGACACCACAAACAAAAAGTTCAGAACCATTGTCAAAACCTGTCAAAGAACTTACAGATGAAGAGAAAAATTCAATAATAGAAAGTGCCAGGTCTGGAAATACAAACCCTAACTACAAAGTCACTTTCATAGAAATGGAACGGCAAGTATCTCAAAAAGAAACAGACTCTCACAAATAAAATATTGAAGTCTGAAGGAGCTTTCGAGACAACAGATGGAAAAGTTTACTTCACTGACCAACAGTTCATTATAGAACATCTCATTGACTTAGAGTCGAAATATTCTAAACTTTACAACAAACACAAAAAGTTGAAAGGAAAACAAAAACAAATGGCATATGATATTTACGAAGATGTTGACGACACAACCATACCTGCAAGTGAGGTAAAGTCAGAGGAACCGAAAAGTGACGAAAAAACCAATAGAAGAAGGGAAGCCACAAACTGAAGAAAAACCAAAACCAAAAGGTTAGTTTCCAAACTAAACCAAGTCAACCTTCATTAGCTGGTTATGGGTTGGCGTCAAAGACTATATGGCAGCAGGCGGTTATGTAAAGTAAAGAAAAAATATATTTTTTTATTTTTATAAAAATGCCCCCATATAGAATGGATAGAAAGTCTGCTAGAATAAAAGCAGAGTTGCAAAGATATGGTTGGAGAGTTTCGAAGAATTTTAAATATAGGAAGGGAAAGCCAATAAAAGTCTATGACAAATTGTCTGGTCTTCGCTACGAAATGGATTTGGAAACAGCACGCGCAAATTATCCAAACAGACTAGAGAGGTTAGAAGAAGAACGGCTTATGGACATGCCTTTCGATGTTAGTGAGCCACAGGTTGAAGGACACGACGGCTTTGCCAGGTTCTACTGGAAACATGACGAACAATTGCATCCTTTGAGGAGGAAAAAAGGAAAAGGTGAAGACAAACATGCTCCCATGGAAAGAACAAGATATGCATATGAAAAGTATCGTGAAGTTAGAAGTAAAATTACATCTGGTCGAACCTTTACAGTAAACTTTGACGAAGGAAAGAACAAAGAAGGCTTCATGGGTGTACTTGCTGCCATACAAGATGGAAATAAGAAAGGATACAATCTCAGATTGACCATAACAGATTTGGATGGTCACATTTACTATGCACATGGCAATGTCACAACAGCTGCAATGCTTCTTGACGCTTTCAAGACTACAAAGAGAGAACAAATGGTTGACTCCGACTCAGACATTTTGAATGCAATTGAAGGAATTGCAAGTGTAAAATTTGAATGGTACCAACCGAACCCTCAAGCAGTCAGACAACATGCTGGATACTTCCCCTTCATAAATAAGTCTGACATTGACTTGACAAGGTATGGAATTTACAATTCAATTGAAACAATTGTCAATGAACCTTGTATTCTTACATGTCTCAGGAACTCTGGTCTTGTTACAGATGAGAAGATGAAGTATCTTGAGTCATGTGTAAACAAGGTACATTCTCAGAGGTCAATTGGCAAAAATTGCACCGTTGGCAAATGTCAATATCCGAGTCAACATACCTACAGCTAAAGGTTCTTCACATGACGACTATGTTGTTGAGTTCAATTTACCATGGTTGAAGATTGCAATTGTCCACAACCACTTCATTGTTGAACGAAAGTCTTTACAAACCCATTGTTCGGAAAAGGCAAGTGCAACATTGTCAGAGCTGTAAACATTCTTTTCGAGAAAGGTTTGTTGGAACCAATTCCAGATGACAAGCTGACAGAAACTTTTGTACCAAAAGACGAAACAAACTTTTCATTGTTGGTAAGACCAAAAGTTGTTCCGGACAAGGTTATAGCACAAAAGAAGTACACAATTCCAAAAGGAGTTGGATTGTTCGGATACCAACCTGAACCAGAAGAACTTCCAATGAGGTTGCAAGAACTTCAAGATGCTATAAACAAACTTCCATTGAGAAATCCAATTGACGTCAAATTGTATTGGAGAGCATCTGAGTTAGGTCAGAAGGTTTTATATGAAACAGGTTGCTTGACGATGTTTATGAGATAACAGGAGAAGTTTCTCAGAAGATAAGAGACTCACTTGAATTTCCACAAACTGGACCAATTGGTTGCGACAAGTTCGACTCAGATGAAAAAGATATACTATGTCGACCTTAACGCTGCATACATGAGGTTCGTCCAATATATTCCAACTGGAATTCCAAACGAAGATGGTGAGTTCCAGGAAGGAACTATACAGTTGGAAAAGTCATACAACAACTGTATTGATATTAGGAAAGCTTCAAACCCCAAACTTGCAATGACACTCAAATTGCTTATGAATTCAACATGGGGATATTCCATTAAAAAACCTCAAAAAGATGAAGAGTAAACACTATGAGAAGGTCGACAACTTTGTGAAAGGTTCTCCCCTTTTGTTTTTGAAGTACGAATTCACTCAAGGTCAAAGTGGCTTAGTAACCACATTAAAACCTATTGTCGAACATTGGTTCCTATCCTCAGTTCGCAAAGGCAGTCCTTGACAACTACAACAAATTCTTCTCCGAAGTCAAATCCAAAGTGAAGGTTTACTATGAGAACATTGACGCACTCATGACGAACGAAGAAGGCTATAAACAAACTCATTGAAATGGGAATGGTCGGTGAAAAGATGGGCTGTTTTAAGCTAGATAAGGTATTTTCGAAGTTCATGTCCTCTCCAAGCGTAAGTACTGGGGCATACTTGAAGACGGCACAGAAATAAAACATTGCATGAAGTAAAACATTGCATGAAATAAAACATTTTTTTAAAAAAAATTTTTTTATTTTATTTGAAATGTACGCTGAGTTTGTTGGAACAGACCGTTGGGAAACTTGTTTGTTAGATGAGAAATATGAAATTCACTGTTGTGAGTCATTTGAAGTCAGAAACAAAAAGACAAAAAGAGTTTTAAGCGAATGTGAGCGAAATGACGGATATGCTAGGATGAGGATTGGTGAGAAATGCTATTTTTTAAACATATTGTCATTGCAACTCATTTTATACCGAACCCTAACAATCTACCTTTTGTAGACCATATAAACGTATAAGAAACGACAATAGACTTGAAAACTTACGCTGGGTCACTCGTTCTGAAACAATAAGAAGAGGCAAATTTGGAGATATAGTATTCGAATTTGTCGACGAACTAGAAGATGAAGCAATTGAAATTACAGACTATGGCAAGCATACGTTTGAGTTTTACTACTATAGCGAAGAACAGGACTCTTTCTACTTTTATACCGGCGTAAACTATAGGAAATTACAAGTATGTTTTACTAAGGAAGGCTATGCTTATGTAAACACTAGAGATACAGATGGAAAACACGTTAAAATACTTCTTAACAAATTCAAGAAGCTATATGGCATACCATTTTAAAAAGTATATTTTTACATATATTAAATGCTTAGGTTGAAAAACAAAGAACAAAAGTAGCAGATACAAAACGTTAGATATAATCTTTACAAACGCTGGTAGGACTATATCAGATGAAGAAATTTCATCCCGAATTGTCTTTCATATACAACTACGGAAAAGTGCTGAATTCGACAAAAATGAGTTTTTGGTTGAAAAAAGAGGTGGAGCCAAAAATGGCTCGACCTCAAAACAAGCATTTTGTGAAGAATATACCACCCCGCGGAATTCCGCGGGGTGCTTTTTATACAAAATTCAACAGGTGAATTTTCATGAATTTCCTTAAGATAGAAAAAGTGAGTTAAAATGAGATTTTTATCGTTGTGGTCCGACGGTTAAGCCACAAACGAATGTCCGACGGTTAAGCCACAAACGAATGTCCGACGTACCACCAAAAAATATTTTTTATTTTTATTGTAAGAACTGAAATGACAGTCGAAGCAAAAACGTTCACGAACAAATCTAATGGCGAAACATTCACAAAAGGCACTTACAACGGTATTGAAGTCTTACGTAGAGACAAGGATGGTTATATAAATGCAACAAAGATGTGTCAGCAGTTTAGGAAAGACTTTAGAAGGTTGTTGGAAAATAAGTCCTGGGAAGAGTATTTTAAGGCATTTTGTGAAGAATATACCAACCCGCGGAAAACGGCGGGTTGCTTTTTATACAAAGTTCATGCAGGAATTCCCGATGAAATCAAACAGGTTAGAGGAATGTATGTAGACCCAAGACTCTAAACTATATAGCAATGTGGGCTTCTCCAAAATATTGCATAGCAGTTGGAAAAATTTGGACTCCATAGACAAGAAAGTTCATAGAGAAATTAGATGAAGAAGAACTTGAAGATACAGTAGAGAATGCTAAACCTTTGTTCGAAGAAGAAGTTAGAAAATGCATGAAAAACAAATAGAACATGAACGTGAGATATGTTCTGTTATAGAGACTCTCCATACGAACTAGACCAATGGGAACAAGAAGAATTTAAAGAGGAATTTAGAGAATATGAACTCGCTAAAGTTTCATTAGAAGCTGCAGAAAAGAAGTTAAAAGTTTGGGGTCGTTTTGTAAAAAAATATTGTGAGTAAATGAACCATTTTATTTTTATTGAATTCAGCAAAAATAATGTTTATGTTAGAATGTTAGATCTAACATGTTTTCTAACACGTTTTCTAACATGGTCTAAAACTCTTGAATTTGTCAAGACTTCTTCGTACATGTTTTGTCGAAACTTCTTCGTAAATGTTTTGTCGAAACTTCTTCGTAAATGTTTTGTCGAAACTTCTTCGTAAATGTTTTGTCGAAACTTCTTCGTACATGTTTTGTCAAGACTTCTTCGTACATGTTTTGTCAAGACTTCTTCGTACATGTTTTGTCGAAACTTCTTCGTACATGTTTTGTCAAGACTTTTCGTACATGTTTTGTCAAGACTTCTTCGTACATGTTTTGTCAAGATTCTTCGTACATGTTTTGTCAAGACTTCTTCGTACATGTTTTGTCAAACTTCTTCGTACATGTTTTGTCAAGACTTCTTCGTACATGTTTTGTCAAGACTTCTTCGTACATGTTTTGTCAAGACTTCTTCGTACATGTTTTGTCGAAACTTCTTCGTACATGTTTTGTCAAGACTTCTTCGTACATGTTTTGTCGAAACTTCTTCGTAAATGTTTTGTCGAAACTTCTTCGTAAATGTTTTGTCGAAACTTCTTCGTAATGAGCGTAAAAGACCCAAAAATAATGTTTATGTTAGAATGTTAGATCTAACATGTTTTCTAACACGTTTTCTAACATCGTAGAAAACTCTCGAAATTCATGAATTTTGACACTTTCACAAAAAACATAAAAAATAAAGTTGGTTTTTTTAAAAAAATATTTTTTTATTTTTATTGTAAGAACATGTTAGCAACAACAGCACCAAACTCGCTAGTTATGAATCCAACATCTATGTTAGTAGAAATGAAAAGCTTCATTCCTTCTTCATATACTTTCGAAACAAAAATCCAGAAGATAAAGCAAGAACTTTTAACATCTAATTTAAACTGTAGTGCGAAAGATGAAACAAATGAACAGTATCTTTATGAAATGCAGGACATTATTGACCATTTACCCAAATTGCCTGAAATTCAGCAGCAAAAACTAACCATTCCCGAATTTGACGAAATAGAAGTCAAAGCAACTGACTCAGTAGAAATAAAGAAGTTCATACGAAAGGTAAATTATGAATTCCTTGGTTTTCATTGCAACCATAAGGTTATGGACAAAGATTGCGACATGGTATATAAGAACATCTCTGACCTTTACAAATCCGAAGAATTTAAGACCTACGACAACTTTGTTTCGTTAGTTGCAAAATGTGTTTGGGAAATAAGAGATAAAGATAGGGGTAAGGTATGGAACGAACAAATAAAACCCGCTATGTTCGAGATGAAGAAAACCATTGACGCCTTGGTTGTTTTAGCAGGTAAGGTTTTCAGAATATAACGCAAAAATGAACCCGCAATGTTCAAAATGTAAAGCAGCAATGAGGAAATATAACTACTCCGTCAAAGAGATAGAACGTATGCGAAACGACTATGCAGATTTAAAGAAAGAAGCAGAAAAACCAGCAGAAGATAAAATGAACATGTTAGAATTTCTGAACAAAAACTATCCAACTGCTGACGATTTCCTTCTATCTGACGTCAAGAAGAAGTATAAAGAAACTTTCGGTATCGTTAAAACTTTTGACATACTGACAGAAGAAATAGAAGCTACGAAATTGTTTAGAGTCATGAACCATCGCAACATATACCATGTAAAACGCTTGTAAATAGTTATGTTAGAAAACATGTTAGAAAACATGTTAGATCTAACATTCTAACATAAACATTATTTTTATTGAATTCCGTATGAAATTTCATGAGTTTTGTGTGTTTTAGACCATGTTAGAAAACGTGTTAGAAAACATGTTAGATCTAACATTCTAACATAAACATTATTTTTGCTGAATTCCGTATGAAATTTCATGAGTTTTGTGTGTTTTCTACGATGTTAGAAAAGAGGTTAGAAAACAGGTTAGATCTAACATTCTAACATAAACATTATTTTTGCTGAAAAAATGACTAAATTTCATTATATAACTGTTATTTTTTTACGAAGAGAACTTTAACACTTCGTAAAAAAACTCTATGAAATTTCGTGAATTTCCTTAAGATAGAAAAAATAAAGTTAGTTTTATTTTATTTATTTTTTTTATTTTGTATGTAAAGACAGATATGTCAAACATTGAGTTTGAAACAGTTAAAAAGATAGACAATGACACCAAAGTGGTTCGAATTGGTGATTTAAACGTAAGATACTCAAAGAAATACAACAAATATTCTTTGTCAGACATTATATCTCCATCTGGAAAGAAAACATACCATTGGGTTAAAAATGCTTCTACTCAGAAAATTTTGACAAGAAATCCTGAGCTTATGATATCGGTAAGATTCTATGGAACTACAGCATATCTTATAGACAAAAGTCTTATACCAATAGTTTTGTTATGGATTGACCCAGTTGTTGGATATAACTTCATAACATATGGTTCATTCGATACGGAACGTTGCAGTGAAGGCTTACTTTACATCGTTCAGAAACCGAAGGACTTCAATACAAAGAGATATAAGATAGGAAGGACATATAATATAACTCTAAGATATGACAGTACAGTCAATATAGTCAAGGTTGTGTTAGTTAATGATATGAGAGCTGCAGAAACAGAACTACTTGAAAAGTTTGAGAAAATGTATGGTGCTCCCACGAAAGGTAAAGAAACGTTTGAAGTAGATGAGATAGATAAAGCTATAAAATTATTTGACGAAGTTGCTGAAAAATACATGTAAAGCGTTTATTTTTGGTCTTTTGTGAAAGATAGAAAAAATAAAGTTAGTTTTATTTTTATTTATTTTTTTATTTTGTATGTAAGGACAGATATGACAACAACAGAGAACACAACAACAGTTATAGTCCATGAAGCTATAAATGAAGAATATGAGTGGGTTCAGTTTAACAAACAGTTACGTCTCATTCGTTCGGTCAAAGACGATATGTACCAAATGCAAAGTATTTTGACAGCATGTTTTGCTCCAGATACTATGAAACCACAAGATTGGTTTGAATTAAATAGCACTCATGAACTCCTCAGTGAGTTTGAACATGTAGAACTTAAAAAGATGTACCAAGACAGACAAAACTTACCATCACATCTAAAAGGTATATATGTTCATAAGTTCCTAGTTAGTTCAATAGCAATGTGGGCTTCACCTCGTTATGCAATCTACATACTTATGCTACTTGACGAACTTTGTACAAAGCAGAGAGAAGATATGATGAAAGAAGACAAAAGCATTCAGAAAAGAATACCACGTTCGGTACCAAAAGGAAAGGAAAAGAACTATAAGTATATGATTTATACTGAAGAGATGGAAAATGAAGAAGACAGAGATATGGTTATGTTGCATTTAGTCAGAAGAAACAACAAAAGCTTTTACGACCTTGCTAAGATTTACAAATCTGACAGAAATTGGTTCTATCGCGAAAACTTACCGATTTCAATGACACCGAATGAGCAAATAAAGGAAATTGTCAAAAATACTCTTCCTCAAACACACTATGACATCAAAGGTTGCACAATACTTACATTCAAAGAAGATTTGCCATTGTTAAAGGAAAAAATAACAGAGTATTTCGACAACTTCAAACAAGTAGGGTAAATTTCAATCTTTATTTTTCAAGCTTGACCTTTACATTCTGCCTGAGGAAGTCTTTAACAAGCTCGTTAATTTCAATTAGATAAATTGCTTCGTCTAGGGGGTCAAGCTCCATACTGAGTCAGTACAATATTGTACTTTTTCAAGACAATGTTGTACTTTTTCAAGACAATGTTGTACTTTTTCAAGACAATATTGTACTTTTTCAGAACAATGTTGTACTTTTTCAGAACAATGTTGTATAAATTCAGTACAATGTCTCTCAAATTTGAGTACAGCTGTACTTTTTCAGAACAAGTCTTGTACTTTTTCAGAACAATGTTGTACTTTTTCAAGACAATGTTGTACTTTTTCAAGACAATGTTGTACTTTTTCAAGACAATATTGTACTTATTCAGTACAATGTTGTATAAATTCAGTACAATGTCTCTCAAATTTGAGTACAGCTGTACTTTTTCAGAACAAGTCTTGAACTTTTTCAAGACAATGTTGTACTTTTTCAGAACAATGTTGTACTTTTTCAAGACAATGTTGTACTTTTTCAAGACAATGTTGTACTTTTTCAAGACAATATTGTACTTATTCAGTACAATATTATATTGTTTCAGAACAAAGACGGTTAAGACACAAACGGATGACTGACGTTCCTCTTCCTGAATGTCTTCCAAAGCCAGAAGAACCGACAGCCCCAGCACCACAACAGACTTACTACGACTAAACATTTATTTTTCAAGCTTGACTTTTTACAATTTGAACTTTGTTTGCGTAGATATGAATTCTGAAAGAAGTATGAGGGTCTTGTATGACTTTGTACTTCTCCCATAGTTCATGTCTGTCAAACTTACCTGCCATGGACTCTTTCATAAGTTCCATGAAATCGTCTTCAGACAATCCAGGGAAAAGTATGATATCAGTAAGTATTCTTTTAACATCCTTACTTAAACTCTTGGCTGTCTGTACACAAATGACAACTGAAATGTTAAAGTGTCTGAGCTTCTTAAGAATTCGACACATGTCTTGTTCTCTATTCTTTAACAAAGGATGAGAAGCAAAGTCATCTAAGATAAGAAGACATCTGTGAGGGTATGTCTTCCAATCGTAAGATTGCAATTTCTTCGAAATGTATTCTATCTCTTTCTGTTTGTTTCTGAAGTGTTTCTTCTCTAATATTCTCTGCATTTCCTCATTTGGGTCTTTGAACTTAGAATTTATATACTCATTTATAGCATTATACTTCAAAACTCTTCTTTGGTACTTCTTTATCCAATCTAACAACTCAGATCCTTTATACATACTAACTTAGACTTCTTTATAATATCTTTGAACGAATTTACGGTTTGGTCAAATTGACCAGAAGTACTACAAATGACTACTAACTCATAGAATGGGTTCTTCTCATCTAGTTCTTGTTGTTGTGCAGCCATTTTAAGATAAGTGAAAGTCTTACCCGACCCAGGTGGTGCAATTAGACCTGTTATACCATTCTGAGCAAATAAGAACTTTTCATGTATGGGTTTTATCTGAGCATTTTCTAACTTCCTCTTGTTCTTGTTTAAAACATTCTCAAATTTCTTGTCAATGTCAGCAAACTTTTTTTCTAACATATTTTTAGAAAAATTAAAATTTTTATCTTTTAGAAAATGTCTAGCGATTTCGCTATCTATATTCGAGACAAACTTTTTGACAGCAAAACATCTGTCGACCATAAAATCTTACATAGTGTAAACAAGAAAGGTGAATTTGTTCTAAAGTTCTGTTTCTGGGAATATGACAAGAACCATAAAACATTAGGCAGAGAAGTCTTAAAATTTGTCAATGACAGACTTGTTGACAGAGATGACGCCGATTGGAAAGATGAAGTCCAACAAAAGTTCTTAGAATGCAAAGAAGACACATGCGCTGTTCTTGAAGATGAAATAGGAAACAGAATAGAAGAGCTATTAAAGGACAAAGAAC